TTTCTTTTTCTTTCTTTCTTTCTTCCTCTTTCTTTCTTTCTTTCTTTTTCTTTCTTTTAATAGCTCGGGCTCTTGAACCTTATGTCATTTTATAAACTCTTCCTGGGTGCTAAGCACAAGCAGAGGTGAAGAAGCCAGATGTAGTCTCTGCCCTCTGGGAGCTCTCTGGCAAGTGGGGAACCCAGCATGCAGCAAGTTCTGTACAGACTGTGCTGTGATGGGGTGAATTCAGGGCATGATCGGGATCCAAGGGAGAGAGAGCTGCTCCAAAATGAGGAAGGAGGCAAAGAAAGCTTCCTGGAGAGAGAGCATGGAAGGACGACAAGAATGTTAGCTCAGGGAAGTGGAGTGGATTCTTGGGACAGGGTATGCAAAGGTGTGGAATGCACAAAGCAGGCCGGAGTGGGGCCATGACAAGGCGTGCCTGATGAGCGCATGCGGGATGGGGCTGAAGCCGAGTCAGGAGAAAGCCGGCTTCATAAAGGGCTTGAAGGCCACCTTGAGCTTGGATGACCTAGGGGTAACAGGGAACCGCAGACAAATTTAAGTGAAGGGTAGGCATGATCACATTCGTGGGGCAGTTCTGTTCTGAGACCAAGCAGAAAGCTGGGTCTTGTCCTCTCTGCAGAGAAGTGGAGAAGAAACTCACCACAAGCCCCTCCCCAGGAGCCTTATTAAGTTAAAATATTCTGCCATCTTGAATATCTCAAGACAAGGGCGCTGTGTTCTGGCCAGGGCAGCCCAGTCTCTGAAAGCAGGCAGGGTCCAGAGCTGTGTGTCCAGGAGAGGAAAGTGCTGCTTGGACTCCTCTTGCCTTTGAAACCCCTTCTCTGGCCCCGCTCAACTGCCAGGACTTGGTGGCCCAGAAATCTTCAGCAATGGGGCTGGGTAAGCTACTCAGCCTCCCCTTGGAAAAAGGACAGTCCCAGGCCAGAGGGGTCAGCCCAGGAACGACGGTGGTAGTGAGGCTATTTCAGAAAGTAAGCGAGGCCAGGTCCTGGCTAGCAGTATCTGCTGAGGCCATAAGATTTGGAGGTGGATGGTGGGTACACCAGATGTTTGTCAGGCCAGAGCTAGTCCTGCCTCTGTTTTACATCCACTCATTCATTTTATTCAACAAACACTGAATACCAACTCTGTGCCTGGCCTGAAAAGACCTGGCCTCCGCCCCAGGGGGGTCCTAGTGAAGGGACATATCCAAACAATAACTTAGTTTTAGGAAAGTGGCAGGAGGTAGAAGCAGCAGATGTACCCAAAAAGTTGGAGCCCCTGGGTAAGGGGCTTTAAGGGGCTGCCTGGAGGCAGTCGGGGAAATTGTCCCAGAGGAGTCAGCCGAGAGGGAAAGTCACTTACCCAGGGCCACGTGGCCAGATCTACCGCAGTCAAAGGAGTTGCATGTGAATAATCCCAGGGGTGTGAAAGGTTAGGGTTCTGGAAACTGGGCTGTCGGGGGCTGCAGGGTCCCAGGGGCCAAGGATTGACCTCCAGGACCATGCAGGCGCAGAGGGCACAAGAGCTGGGGTGGGCGGGCAGGCTTGGTAGGCCGTCCAGAATCCAGTGGATCTAGGGTCCAGAATCCAGCCCACAGTCCTGGCCCTGTCTCACAGCCGCCTGCGGGGGAGTGACCCGCAACGCCACCACGGGCCGCCTCGTCTCCCCGGGCTTCCCAGGCAACTACAGCCACAATCTCACCTGCCACTGGCTGCTTGAGGCCCCGGAAGGCCAGCGGCTGCACTTGCACTTCGAGAAGGTTTCCCTGGCAGAGGATGACGACCGGTGAGGGGAGCCCTGGGGGGACGGGAGGGCCTGGCCGCCTAGTGCCTCTGCTGCAGTTGGAACCCAAGCCTGAGGGCCACACCCCAGCCAGGGCAGTGAGACCAGCTGCACCTCTGCTGCTTTCCTGGCCCAGGCTCATCATCCGCAATGGAGACAACGTGGAGGCCCCTCCAGTGTATGACTCCTACGAGGTGGAGTACCTGCCCATCGAGGGGCTGCTCAGCTCCGGCCGACACTTCTTCGTGGAGCTCAGCACGGACAGCAGTGGGGCAGCGGCGGGCATGGCCCTGCGCTACGAGGGTGAGCCTGCTAGCGCCTCGCGGGGGTGGAGGGCTCAAGCCTAGGGCTTCTCCTCTCACCCCCCACCTCCACTCCTTCATCGCTCCTTCCAACTTAGCCCCTGCTCACCTAACACTTAGGCCCCCCCTCCCTAACCCTCCTCTCCTGGCCTTGGGGATTCCTACCCCGTTCTTGCAGGAGACCCTTGCCTGGACCCAGGCCCTCTAGTCCAAGAAAATGAATCCTCTAGAATTTGAAGAGCAAAAACAGCCCCAACCCTTAGAGAAGGAAAATTGCAGCAAGAGACATTCTACAACCACTCATGCATGCATGCATGCATGCATGCATTCATTCATTCATTCCAAAAAACCATTTATTGAGTGCCCTGTGTGTATGAAGCACAAAACTAGGTGCTGGGAATACAATGGTGATCAAGCCTGCCTCCCAAGCATGATAGGGTATGGTGCTCTGGGCATCCTGCCCCCGCTGCAAGCCTAGGACATGCATTCGTGGTCAGGAAGCTAAAGGCCTTGGGGCGGGAGGCAGAAGGACGTCTGCCCCGTTTGTCCTGGCTGAGGCTAAGCTGGGCTGGGCCCCCTGGTTTGCAGCCTTCCAGCAGGGCCACTGCTATGAGCCCTTTGTCAAATACGGCAACTTCAGCAGCAGCGCCCCCTCCTACCCGGTGGGCACCACCGTGGAGTTCAGCTGCGACCCTGGCTACACCTTGGAGCAGGGCTCTATCATCATCGAGTGCATTGACCCCCACGACCCCCAGTGGAACGAGACAGAGCCAGCCTGCCGAGGTCAGTAGGTACCTGTGGATGGGCCCGCCCGGGGGGCAGGGAGCAGGGTGGGGGACCGGAGCCAGAGGCAGAGCCTGGGGCACAGCGGTCCTGTGACATGTGAGATTCAAGCTCCCCCCCCCCCGAGAGGAGGTGGGGGCTTCCGGCCATGGGTCAGCACTCCTGTGGGCAGGTGGCAGCCCCAGGACATAGCCTGGGAGGGGGGACGTGGAGGGGACGCACCTCCCGGGCCTCCCCTGCCTTCCAGCTGTGTGCAGTGGGGAGATCACAGACTCCGCTGGTGTGGTGCTCTCCCCCAACTGGCCGGAGCCTTACAGCCGCGGGCAGGACTGCATCTGGGGCGTGCACGTGGAAGAGGACAAGCGCGTCCTGCTGGACGTCCGAGTGTGAGTGCCCACTGGGCGAGGCCAAGCCGGCTCCTGAGCTCTGAGGCCATGTCTGGCCCAGCCCCGCCTGGAGTCCCCAGGCCCGCCCTCCCTGACAGTCCTCCTCCGCAGGCTGCGCATAGGCCCTGGTGATGTGCTTACCTTCTATGATGGGGACGACCTGACGGCCCGGGTCCTGGGCCAATACTCGGGGCCCCGTGGCCACTTCAAGCTCTTTACCTCCATGGCCGACGTCACCATACAGTTCCAGTCAGACCCCGGGGCCTCGGTGCTGGGCTACCAACAGGGCTTTGTCATCCACTTCTTTGGTGAGCTTGTTGCCCCTGCCCTGCCCTGCTGCCCCGGGGAAGAGGATGCCAGAATATGGATCCCAAAGCATGGCGAGTCAGACAGGCCAGGGCAACGAGCCTGAGTGCTCTGATCCAGCAAGGGAAAGCTGGGAAAGCTCCAGGTATCCTCTCCGCTGAAGGAAGCCAGTCTAATTCTCCATCTTCACTGAGGGCCCAGGGAAAGGGAGACTTCCGTTGCAGCAAGAGAGATCTGGGTAGGCAGCAGGAAGACCTTCATCACAAAAATAAGAAACTAAGGAAAGGGGTTTGTTCCTATCTTCTGACCGTCTTGAACGGAAGTGACAATTTGCCGACCCTAACTGGCCCTCTCTCTCAGGACCGGGGAACCGGCCAACACACTTTTGAAAGTAAAGCCAAAGCCGAAATGATAACCCAGGAAACTCGGAGACAGAATGATGTCAGGGACAGGCAAGGAGGGGCCCCTGAGCAGGAAGGAATGCGTTGCTGGGCCTGTCCTCGCTGAGGAAGGCTAGCACAGTCGCTTCAGTGCTGGCTGAGGGCCTCTGTCTTGCTGCCCCTGTGCCCCCCAGAGGTGCCCCGCAATGACACATGTCCGGAGCTGCCTGAGATCCCCAACGGCTGGAAGAGCCCGTCTCAGCCTGAGCTGGTACATGGCACGGTCGTCACTTACCAGTGCTACCCTGGCTACCAGGTGGTAGGAGCCAGTGTCCTCATGTGCCAGTGGGACCTAACCTGGAGTGAGGACCTGCCTTCCTGCCAGAGAGGTGAGTCTACCTGTTCCCCATGTTCCCCTCCTTAGTGCAAGATGCGAGCCTCTCTCCTCGATTCTGAACCAGACTTCAGCTGTTACCAGCTAGTGCCCTTGAACTTCCTCTAGCTCTCGGAGCCTCAGTTTCCTCACCTGTGAGATGGGATACCTTTTCAAAAGGTCATCCACCAAGCACTTCAAATATTTCCTCCCGGGGAGATGGCCAGTGTTTGTTGATTCTCATGGATTGGAAGGGGACAAATGAGGGATGCACCAGCCAAACGGCAAGGACAGATAATAGGCAGCAGAGCCACGTGTCAGAAAGATATTGGCTGGCTTGGAACAAAGCCAGGGTGGACTGGCTTTTGTTGACTTCTACCTGGGCTACTTTCCCATAGTGACTTCCTGCCATGACCCTGGGGATGTGGAGCACAGCCGACGCCTCATATCTAGCCCCAAATTTCCCGTGGGGGCCACCGTGCAGTATATCTGCGACCAGGGTTTTGTACTGACTGGTAGTGCCATCCTCACCTGCCATGACCGTCAAGCCAGCAGCCCCAAGTGGAGCGACCGGGCCCCCAAGTGTCTCTGTAAGTGCCGGATGGGTAGAGGGGGAAGCCTCTGAGAGGAGACAAAAGATGCCACCTCTGGAGGCTAAGGACCTGGCGCCCTCACTGGGCTCTGCCTACTTTGCAGTGCAACAGCTCAAGCCATGCCACGGCCTCAGCGCCCCGGAGAATGGTGCCCACAGTCCAGAGAAGCGACTTCACCCAGCAGGGGCTACTGTCCACTTCTCATGTGCCCCTGGCTATGTGCTGAAGGGCCAGGCCAGCATCAAGTGTGTGCCCGGGCACCCTTCACATTGGAGTGACCCCCCACCCATCTGTAGGGCTGGTGAGTGTTCTGCCACCCTCGGAACTCCTGTCTGCCCTGGGGCGCCTGGGTGGCACCGTCGGTTGAGTGACTCTTGGTTTTGGCTCAGGTTGTGATCTTAGGGTTGTGGGATCAGGCCCCATCTCGGGCTCTGAGCTCAGCGTGAAGTCTGCTTACGATTCTCTCTCCCTCTCCCTCTCCCTCTGCCCCTCCTGCTCGTGCTCTCTCTCTAATAAATCTTAAAAAAAAAAAAAAAAAAAAGCCAAAACTCCTGCCTGTCCCACAGGGCTGCTCTAGCAGAGCATCTAGCAAAGATGCCAAGTGTTGAACCCCCTGCCCACACCCACTTCATGTTACCCTTAGTCTCTCCAGTCTCTGCCAGATCCTTCTGACCTGGTGACACCAAGACAAATGCTGGGGTGGGCTCCCCTTGGACAAATCCTTCCCATGATCAGTCTACTCCCTGCCTTAGTGGTTTGGCCCATTGGTCTCACCTCTGCCCTTGGCCCTCCCCTCTTGTTCCAGCCTCTCTGGATGGGTTCTACAGCGGCCGCAGCCTGGATGGTGAGCCCCCCTTTGAGGGCCAGGGAAATAGTCTCCCTGCCCCTGGCTCTCACAGCTCCCAGGCCATGGGTCCCCCAAGAAGGGAGGGCAGAGAAAGAAAGAGGTCCGGGACCAGCAGAGCAAAAGTTCCTTTCCCTGCCCCCAGCTAGCTAGAGGGAGCTGGTACCTGGATTCTCCTGGGCAGAGGTGAGGACAGATATGGGCTCTGGGTCACAGGGACTTCTGCCCCAATCCTACCCACTGTGTTTTCAGTTGCCAAGGCACCTGCTGCCTCCAGCACCCTGGATGCCGCCCACATTGCAGCCGCCATTTTCTTGCCACTGGTGGTGATGGCAGTCTTGGTGGGAGGTGTGTACCTCTACTTCTCTAGGTGAGTCCGGTTTCCCTTCCTGCCCTGCATACCCGACTCACTCCTGCCCAGCACTTTCGACTCACAGGCTTCTCTGTCCCACAGGCTCCAGGGGAAAAGCCCCTTGCGGCTGCCCCGGACACGACCCCGCCCCTATGACCGCATTACTGTGGAATCAGCATTTGACAATCCAACTTATGAGACTGGAGTAAGTACCCATGCCATTCTTTGCACCCTATCCAGGACCTAATTCTAGGCTCCCTTGAGCAGGTACCCCTGAGGGTCCCTCCAAGTCCTCTCACTCTTTCCCTTTTCCTTGGGAAGGTGGATTATGGGCTGGCAAACCTTATACAAGTTTCCAACTCCCAGCAGTCTCTTTACTTTGCAGGAGACGAAAGAATATGAAGTCTCCATCTAGGTGGGGGCAGCTTGGAGAAGCCAGCTCAGCCCAGCATCACAGCCCAGCAGCAGCGTTTCCAGCTTCCTGCTGTCCCTACGCCTCCTGTACATACCATCTGGGAAGAGATGCCACCAATCCCTCAAGAAGTTGCGCCCTTCCCCACCTGCAATGCCCACCAGGGCCTATTTTCTCAGTACCACTGCCCACATAGGGCCCTTCCTTGGGTTCAAGTCAGGGAGCATCTTCCTCTGGGCAGAGCACAGCTGGAGCACGTGCATCAAGAACCAGCATTCTCCTGACCTTCCTTCATGCCCTGGACCTCTAGCCTGGAATTCACAAGCAGAGGAAGAGCACCTCTCTCCAGGCTGACCACCATCCAGCCTGGCATGTGGCACCCTGCAGCAGGGTGAACTTGATGGTGGTGGAAACTGCACCAGGATGCTCCTCACAGGGCCATCACCAGTGGCCAAAGCTGCTGTTGACAGTGACCTCTGGGTAGTCCTGGCATGATGACATCAGCCCCTCGGAGAGGTCTCTAGTCCTTCTCTATGGCCCCAGGAATGGACAGTTCTGCTTCCTGGAGGCAATAATTCTAAGGGACCCTAAGGGGTTTAGGGACCCTACCCCAAGCTCAGGTTGGGCTTCCCTAGGCACTCATGCTCCACACCAAAGCAGGATACCCCACTCTGCCCAGACAGCCCTACATGCCAGGGAGAGGGAGACCTTCCCCTGATGTCAATCTGGCTTTACAAACATCTTCTTTCCCACTAGTCCCTCCCCCAACCCCAGCCACCCAGCAGTCTCCCTTCCTGGCCACTGGGTTTTGGGATAAGGGGAGTGGGCAGGCATATTCTGGAGAGGAGCAGAGGTCCAAGGGCCCAGGAATTTGGCATGAAACGGGGGGTTAGAGACCCAGAGAGAGACCTAGGAGTTGGCTACAGGCCACTTTGTACATGTAATGTATTATATGGGGTCTGGGCTCCAGCCAGAGAACAATCTTTTATTTCTGTTGTTTCCTTATTAAAACGGTGTTTTTGGAGAAAAAGAAAAAAAAAAACAAGCAATGGCCAGGTAGATGGTGCTTTCTTGGAGGGAAGGGAGGTGGGAAATAAATGGGATGTGGACTTCAAGACCAGAAGGCATGCTGGACCCACCAATTGATCACTCCCACATTTCATCCAAAACAAGTTACATGCAGGTGCCTCAGGGACTACTGTCCCAACAAGGTCAGCGCAACAGATGGTAGGTGAAGCAAGAGGCCCAGTAGCTGGCCCACAGGGGTGTGGAAGCCCAGGAACCCAACTGCTCAGCTACTACAGGCTGGCACACTCCCAAGCCCCTCCTCAATGCCACTGTATTGTTGACAAGGCCCAGGAAGCCTGATGCCTCTCTCCTTCCCCTTCTTCCCCAGCTAGCAAGGTTTAGGAAACTGGAATAAGAATCAGAGACTGAACCCCTAAATATGAGGCCCTAGTCCATCCTGGCCTCAGGGAATATCCAGACTATCAGGAGGAGGGGCAATGCAGCTTAGGGTAGGGACCTGGCTCCTCTTTCAGCAAAAGCCCTATCCAGGGGCTCCAGAAGAAGTTGGCTGGAAAGGATCTACTTAAGTTTGCCATGTTTGGTCACTTGCAGCCCCGATGCCCCTTCCCTACGGCTCCCAGGCACCTCCTGAGATGAAAGTGTGAGCTCAGCTTCGGCCCCCAGCATGCACATCTGTGCTTAGAGATGCGCTCTGCATGGCTGCTCTCCAGAGTAAGAGCATGAGACAGGCAATGGAGTTATGGACACTCAGAAGCCAGAAGACAAAATCCCTGAAGGAAATAATGGAAGCCACCAGCACGTTCTACTTCCACAGTCTTCCAACAGAGAGGTCCTGATCACTCATGGCTGCCCACCTCCTGGCTCCACCACAGGCCACTTTGAAGGCTGGAAAAGTTCCAGTCCATGTAGACTGCAGTGCTTATATTAGCCACAAGAGGTCACTTCAGAAGACATCTGTATCCCACCTGCTAGCTCTCCTCAACCCCCTCTTGAACAACCAGGACTGGAGCTCTCCAAGGTGGCTCCAACTTCTAACGGCTGGGCTGACCTTCCCCTCCAAGTTCTAAGAGGAAGGTGTGTACCGTGATTAGTTCCCCTGGCACTTGTCAACAGAGCCAAGTATTATTTCCCTCGTTAGCCCACCACCTGTTCCTGTTCTCCACTGCAAATGATGATGTTGATCAAAGCAAAGCCTTCCTCATTGGGCATAGGCCAATGGACTACTTATCTGCCCCATAATGCTTTCAGGCTGACATAGCAGCACAGCTGGGTCCTGAGTAGTAAGAAGTCAGTGAAAGAGGGCACATGTGCTTCCAACTTCTGAGGGCCTGTGGCAGGAAATAAAACCTCAGAAGAGATGAGATCTGGCCACTTTCATACAACTAGCTCAGCCCTACTCTCTCTGAAGCCTGCCTCTCTGGTCCATAACCACTAGGATTTCTTGTTTGCTGAGGCTGGTAGAGGGCAGAGAGCGGCCAATCTACATGACACCTACACACACACACACACACACACACACACACACACACGACAGGTAAGGCCCATGACCTTATCATTCTTCCTAGCCACCAAGAGGATCATTAGAAAAGTCAGAAAAACAGAAACCGAAGACCACACACTGACATCCCCACCCTATTTAACTCATTCTCCTTACTATCCCAAAAGAAGCAGCAACAACTCCTCATAGACAGTTAACCTGGTGTAGTGGAAAGTGTCCTGGCCTGGGAATCAAATCTGTTTCATTCATAGGTCCGCCATAAATTCACTATGTGAACTAGGCAAGTCACCGCTCCTCTCTATGCATCGGGAAATGAGGCGATTAACACAGATGGCCTTTAACCCCTTTGCGGTTTTATCCTTCTGCAAATGCTAAGTACAGCTTAACGATCACAGGTGAGCAGGACACAAGTACCTGGCAACAATGCCAATTAAATGCCTAGTGGCAGGCACAGTGATGTTATTCCCTTCTCCACCTCTTCACCTACAGTCAGGCAAGAGATAACTGGCCATCTCTGAAAGCGATAACAAGGGCAGGGGCGCGTGCCGTGGGGGAAGCCCAAAATTCGAGGTGAGGCCTTCAGACTACAAATCCCAGCATACAGCACAGCAGCTCTCAAAAAGCATCCCTTCCTGGCAGGCAACTCTCTCATCCCCGAGTCCGTCCGACCACACAGTGCATAGCATGCCCACGGAACTACGGCTCCCACAACCCACCAGATCCCTCGCGATTCTTGATCCCAGGGTGCAATGCGCTCTCGTTCGCCCTTTGGAACGCCTGCGCGTTGCAAACTGGGAGTTGAAGTCCGCTATAGGCATGTAGCTGGGCGTTGTCAGCGTTACTAACTCTTCGCTGTTGGCTTCCTCTGGTGCAGTTGTCAGGGACAGTGATCAAGAGAGGGTAGTAATGGGCCAGCGAAACTCTCCATGGTGTCACCATTACTCAAGGCAGGGATGCTGAGGCCAAAACTAACTGTCGGGAGAGGGAGGGTAGTGTGAACAGTAGCCATCCAACCCGATACCAGAAGAATAGTTTTCCGTCGCGATGGCTTTTCTTTTCTCTTTACCAACATGGCGCCTAGTCCAGCCACACCTGACGCTGGGAACCAAACGATCCAGTACAATATCCCTAGGAGTACTGCTGTCACCGACAGCCTACCCGCTCCAGCCAACACCACACCTTCCTCCTTCCTGTTCTTGCCTGAGGACTCCAAGGACGTGGTAGCCTATATCCCATTACCAAAATGGCGAAAGCAGAAGCATTCTTGTTAGGGCCTGCAGGTGACAATACGCTTGCGCGGAAGGCGGCTGCGTTGTGGGGCGGGAGGGGAGCATTCTCAACACGCCTGCGCAGGAACAGAGTATTCTTGGTCTATACACAAACACCAATGGATGAAGAGCCCCCATGTTCCTGCGGCTGCGCTGTGACCCTTAGAAACTCTCCCAGGCGCCTGCGCGAGACCTCAGGTCCCGCCCTCTTATCTTACTACGCTGGCGCAAGGCAGAAAGGCGGGGCTTCGGCGCTCCAGACGAATGCCAGCGCGGCTGCGCGCTGGGGGGTACCCCCTGACTGCGGCTGCGCGGGAGCCCGGCCGCCGGCTGTCACTGCGGTTGCGCGCGACGAGCGGCGATCCCGGGGCGCCTGCGCGGGTGGCTTTGCGGGCGCTCGCGGTAAGTTTGCGCCAAGTGCGCGGCAGCCGGGACGCAGACGGCGGCGGCGGCGAGAGGCGGAGCCCGGGGACCACCCCCCATCACCCTCCCCGCAGTCACCTCACGTACCACAACCTCACCTAACCTCTCACCCCCCCTCCGATCCCCCCAACCCCGGGATGGCAGCGCCCGCCAGCCTTCCCGGCCGGACCAGCGGTCGCCAGCGCCGGCTTTAGCCTGTGGGACTAGGCCCCGCCGAGGCCTGACCCCCGGAGCCGGGACCCACCGTGCAGCCAGCCGCCGGGCCGGGGCTGAGGGGCCGCTCCCCCCTCACGGCCCGTGGGGAGGACGCTGCCGTCCCGGGGACTGGGGGCCGGGGGGTGGGGGGGAGCCAGGGCGAGGAAGTCGGGACCCGTGTTGGGAAAAAAGAAGGGGGGCCGGGGTCAGGAGCTCCCCCTCCCCCCGCTTCCCCCCTCCCCCCGGGGTTGGGGGGGCCGGAGCAGAGAGCGCCCAGCCCGGGAGGTGGATGAATGTGGGAGAAAATGGAGACCAAGACGATCGTGTACGACTTGGACACGTCGGGGGGGCTGATGGAGGTAAGAGTGGCCCTCCTCATCCCCTTCCCCCAGCGCCGGGAGGGAACCTCCGCCCTCCGTCCTACAAAGCCGGTCCTGAGCTCACAGCGCAAAAGGGCCGGGGGAGGGGGGGCTTCTTCCTCACCCAGACCCTCCCTCCCTTCTTTGCAATTCGAGGGGCTGAGCTCAGCCTCCGAGGACGTTTGCAGCAGTTTCACCTACCCGCCGCCCTGGATTCG